GGATCCATGCACCGGTATGGATCCATACGAGAGTGCCAGCCTGATAAGCTACTGAGGCTTGAAGACAACAACAACTGCAATATTTCTGAGCTACATGTACTTAATGCTACAGTCATGACTTTCAAGTATCACCAAGATAAGTTAGACTGATAACAGAGAAAGCAGCACTGATTCCTACCTGCACAATTCTATATAACAATGGCTCTAACCAGCCAACATTGCACTCACAGTGACTATCAAGAAAAGTTAATATTTTGCTTGAGGCAAAGTTTGCTCCTTTCACACGGGATCGTATTAAACCTGAAAAAGATGGCATTAATGGCGTGAATCAGTGTATGAAACTGCATTGGGTGTGGACAATAATAAATAAAGGAAATAATCAAAAGGCCCTTTTGAGCCCTTCCATCACACTTTTGTGCAGTACAATGTGAAAGTGGCTTGAAGGGACAGCTGTATTATGTGGCTAAATGTAATCTACTTGTAGGCAAAGTTAGACTCGAACAAATACAGCCAGTGGTTTCTCCTTTGACATTACGTGACCTGTGGGGCACTGGCCCTCAGGGAATTTGCAGGGCTCTTGTGCTTCACTGCACTACATGTACAATTTAGTTAGCTGGTCTTTTCGCATCAGTTGCAGCTTGTGATAGCGAATCTTTGTGGATTCCTGCTCCCTCTGAGCCACCCTCCCTCTTGGTTTGCTGGTTTCTCAGTAAGTATTTGGTCAGGTACAGTAAGCTGTTTCCACTGTTACCTTTCAGTGTGACAGTGCCATTCTTGATGCGTTTGCGAACAGTAAGCATTTATTTGCGATTCGCTCGTCACTCTCGAAAGCATTTAACTGAAATTGTTATACCTCCCAACTCAAATATGTTTTTCGATTGGAGGAGAACGTGTCATTTGTCGTGGGTCAAAACTCACTAACTCCCTAGGGAAATAACAACTTGAACTATTGACTTGCATGTGATCAGGTCGTGCTTCTTGAAACTGCGGCAAATTTGTGAGCCAGCTGGTGTCAAGCCCTCAATGATGCTTTGCCTCGGGAAACATTGAGAGTGTCAGGGAAATGAAACTCACTGTTTCCTGTGGGACCAGTCATTAAGTGTTTTGTTATACCTCCCAACTCAAAATAGAGAAAAACTCTGAAGAAATCATTTGCTTGACACCGGCTGGCTCACAAATTTGCCGCGGTTTCAAGGAGGATGACCTGATCACGTGCGAGTCGAAAGTTCAAGTTGTTGTTTCTCTAGGGAGTTAGTGAGTTTTGTTCGCCTCTTGGGGTGGTTCCCTGTTCTAGGGTTGCCATGGATACCTCCCTTCAGCTTACAGCTTTTTGCTCCCCACAACCCTTTAGGCACCAGTTCCCAAGCTCACCTATTTGTGATGAGTTTAAAAGGTGATGATGTGTACACAGTAAACTTAACTTAACATATAACGTGTACTGTACCTTCTCTCTTGTCATTTCTAAGAACCTTTACTTTTGGGAGACCCAGCAAGAGCTCACCATCATCAGCTGTAAACAAAAACAATAACAACAAAAACAGAGGTAAAATCAACTGCAGAGTGAAATCAAAACAGTCTTTTATACTCAAGCAGTATTTGTTTATACATGTGTGTGTATGATTGAAGTTTCACAACTTGAGAATTTCATATCCTGAAACACAGTCCTATTCCGGGCACGGTATACATATATCAAATAAAAGTTAATGGCTAAAAGATAATCCTTCCTTCCTGGGTGCTAAATCAACTTGTAGGTAATAGCAAGAGAACTATTTTTTTTCTAATGAAACATCCAATTTAGTGTACATGTATTCCCATCACACCCTGCTCACTGGCTTAAGTACTTCCACTTCAGTTCTGACTGAATGATAGGCATATAGGCATCTAAAGCTAAATATTTTGGCCTTGGTCAAACACAAAAACATTAGTTAAAGAACCAAAGAAAAAATGTAGAATTACCATTGTCACTATAATCATCTACCAAAATTATTTCGTTGATTAGGTTTGGAGGACTTCTATTTAATATACTGAAAAGAAGACAACAACAAAATTAATGTTACAAATTCTGATTTTCTTGTTTGGTACAAATGTACATTGTTCATGTACATAGAAACAATAATAATTAATTTTGTCTCCTTGGAAGATCAATAATAACTATACAATTGTCTTAGTAATATTTATTTATTACTCTTTCAATGTACTATCCCTAACCCTTCCCCGCCCCCCCCCCCCACCGCACCCTATTTGTACCAATTAAATATAAGTTTCCTGAGGTTTTCTTCTGCAACATTTAATTGGTAGTAGTCATCTCAACTGGCGACCAAGTAAAGCATTTTCAGTCTTAAATCTTTTGCTACTGGGAAACGTAATTTACACGACATACCTTGTAATAGTTCTAAGAAGTGTGGACCTTCCCTCATTGTGAAATGTTATTATAACAGAAGTTGCAGGAAGATCTTTAGGATATTCTTCATACCTGCATCTGAAAACAAACAGAACAAAATGAATAAATTAATATAGTTACATGTACTACATACATGCACTTGGAAGTACAACGGATTGAAACTTGCCTTACAGCCACCCCCATTACTACAGTCACCTTGTTATTACTGCCACTATATTCTGACTCTAACAAAAGCTCAGTAAGTCATTTCCTTATTATTTTGAAGAACAGTCCCTTTAACTAAAATGGCCAAGTTCCCGGGGTTCCACTGCCATTTCCACTCACTCTGAAGGCTGAATCAACTATTGCCTCATAGAAATCGAGAGTGAATAATCTAATTGTTCTAGTAGAATTCTAACTGAAATTTACTCCAAATAACGGTTTCCAATTATTTTCTTGACGTGTCATTAAACTCTGCGCCTGAAAAAGATCGCTCAGATTGACTTGTCATTTAAAATTGAAGTTGTGTGCTCGTGCGCATCAGTTTTTTCAATAATTTCAACTTTTTTAAAAGTCAAGAAACTGTAAATGTCCTTTGTTTAGACTTCTCGGGAATTTAATTATCCATTTGCATCGAAATTTTCCTCCAAAACTTCGGAAGAACGATATACTGATACTGTTCAATGGCTCAGCCAATCAGATTACAGCATTTGCATTAGTATACTTGTAGAATTCTACTAACATTTAATATCATACATGTATGTATACTGCTTCAACTTACTGCGAGTGTCTAGTATCTGGAACACTTCTATCTGCTCCAATAGCATCACTGGCAGCTTGATTAAATTGATTCCTATTGTATTTGTCTTCTCCATCTTTTAGTGCTCCTCCTTTCAGGTAAGCTTCTGCACTGAAAGGTGGCCTGTTCACTCCCTCTTCTTCATGAACATACTGATGAAAAACCAAACAATATAGTAAAGGCAAGTTTAACAAGTAACTCAAATAAATAATTTGTTGCCTGGACAAGAGGCCAAATTTCATAAATGTTACTGATAATAGTTCCTCCTATTTTGGGAGCAGGGTTGACGTAGTGGTGAGATGTCCTTGCCACCCACCAATATGGCCTGGGTTCGATTCTGGCCAGGTGTCATGTGTGGGTTGAGTTTGCTATTGGTTCACGCCATCTCTTTTCTCCAGGTTCTCTTGTTTTCCTCCCTATACAAAAACCAACGTCTCCAAATTCCAATTTGACCAGGATAGAGAACCCGCATGAAAACCAGCTAAGGTTGATGTGGCTTCCTCTCTGAATGTTATAATCTATTTTTATTTATTTATTTTTTCATTTAATAATAATTCTAACATGGTGTCAAGGCTTAGGAACTAAAACCAAGAGAAAGTATCTAGATTCATTCTTAAGCCTCAGTGTTTTTTTTTGTTTTTGTTTGTTTGTTTGTTTTTTCACTTGTATTATCCCCCTGGACCTTAGCACTATGTTAGAAATTAAACATCTTGCAAAACAGCATATTTACCTTCCCTCAATTGAGAATGTAGTGTAAACAATCATGAAAATAACTGGAATGAAATTTTTGTGATGGGGAAAATCTGCAAGTTTTAATGGTAGGGAAGTTTTACATGTATCTGAATCTCGATATAAAGAGCTACATCAGAGATACCTAGAGTATCTTAAAAAAAAAAAAAACTGGACATTTTTCCAGTTCATTATACTGTGTATAAAATAAATTATTATTGGATTGCCTGTGAAGATGCTCTATCTATGGCATGCATGTAGCTTATCGTATCAAGATTACGGACTAAATGAACTTGCCATCCTAATCATTTCATCAGTCACATTAATCCCTGCTGAATTTTTATTATTTCATAATAACACTTCTTAATTTGGTGTTATAGTTATGCAGAAAAATGTATTTCTTTTTCGTGTTTTCCTTCAAAGATTTAAATTTAAACTAATTTTATAAACCAGAAATCAGACAAGTAAAATTTGCAATAAAACTCCTGTAAGCAAGTTGATGGAAGAATACACATCTATTAGAAACAAAATACAAGTTTTCATGTACCAACACAAACATCTTTTATGTACAAAACTGTATCGTAACTAAATGGTTTCTCACATTTTACCCCTTCCACCCCTGTGTAAATAGGTCAACAATTAAGCAATTTCAACTGGCACGGAAATTCTATTTACATCACTTACTATCTGCCAACATTGAAAGGAGAAAAAGTGATGTTGACAAGTATTTCTGTGTTGCTTTATTATGATCATTATTTCGAGTGGTTGCATGAAGGTTGTAGCTGTATACATATATGTGTAGACCTGCACAAATAATTGGAACAAATCACAAATCTGGCAAACTTTCATAAAACATAAATTTATAATGGCTTTAAGTGTCTGTTGCCAGGCATATTTTCTGTAATCAGCAGTATTTCAAAATTCACCATTAGAAAAAAAGTCCTCGATTTCAGTTACAGAAAGTATTTAATTGTGAAAACAAAACAGACCTTTATACATCCAATTTACATGGGGTCAATTATTACTGGAAAGGAGCAGACAGTCCCCAATAAATGACATATTATTAGATTTATCTCTGAGATGTTTGTTCACAGCTGTGTAAGTGCAAAACAAGCCTTCACGTAGCTTGTTTTTAAAATAACCAATTTTGATAGTAAGCACTTCGATAGTCAGGAATAGCACCGTTTTCTAAGTTTACTGGTCAGACTGAAACGCAATACGGCGTAGAAATATTTTAAAGTCTGAATAATCCTGCTGTTGATATGATGATATCTGCTGAAGTATACATGTATCAAATATAATTTACCATATTTTTAATTCTGTTCTTCTGGAAAAAACATCAGACAAGAAACTTGGTTTTATTATGTGGCACCTGTTGGCATGATTTCCCACTTTTGTGGTTAGCTCAATACTGTATCATAAACTTCAGTTCTTGTTAGATCGATCGGATTAAGATGGCACAAGAGATATATTTTCCTGCAGTAGACTTGCAATTTAAAAAGCTAAACGTCTCCACTACCTTACAAATCTATGCAAAACTACCAGCGGCTAAGGGAGGAGTAAAATTTCTAGACAAACCTTCAGAAAAATCGTAAATTATTCATAGAATAGTACTTGCTTCCCTGCAGCGAGACCAAAACGAAGTGCACAAAAGACAATGGGAATCTTTGACACTTCAGAGAACTTGCGAGGTAGCTCATTGTTCCATGAATTACCCATTCAGTGAAAGTAAACTACGCTAAAGTTGCCTTAAATTAGTAGCAAATTAAGAGGTCGATGACTTGACAATCTGGCTGTAACTTATAGGCTGTAAAATTAGGGTACAAATCGACGCTCTCCTTCTTACCTTTGGCGGCTCGCTCCGTAGAAGTCCCGAATCCGATGTAAAATAAAGTATTCCAAGAAGCCATATTACTATCACAAAGATGATAAAAACTCTTCTTTTTCTGATGATCATGATGCAGCTCGGAATGATTTTTTTCGTGTATGATATTTACATTGCAATTTTGCATGCATGTGGTTTTCAGTCAGCGTTACAAAATGCTTGGTAACCAGGTACCTAACCATTGGAGTTATCGCTGAGTAACCGGTGTTTCAGTCACTCTAGGAAGGCTTAGCATGTCATGTGGTCATTATTTATTTCACGGAGACATTGGACATTTTCGGTTCATGATATCGAAATTTCATCTGGTGATGTGTTAAAGAACTTGGAAGATTCAAATGATGAAATTTAAAAAAAAAATAAATAAGTAAATAAATAAAAAATAAGAGTAAAGATATGAAGGCATGAGAAATTCGACGAAGAATTCCCAGTTGAAAAGTAATCATGTTGCAAAATTCAGACCGCTCAGATCAGAGAAGCAATCAGAATTCTCCTTTACACCATGGGCCAGTTTGCTTAAGTTACGTTGCTAAAAAAGAAAACAAAAATAGTTGACAAACTTTCAACAATCGTGATTTGACACAAAAACTCCTGCGCAAAATAAAAGTTTTACCTGGCTTAATAAAATGCCGGGAAAACTCCTGCTCACTGTACCTAAGGGGCCGGCAACAGAGTCGACCCATTCACTTGTTTCCTCCCTATGGGCAGGGAGACGGAATTGCGACTGCGATATCCGGANAACCCCTAACAGGTACCAAGATCCTGTTTTGTGGGCGTGGCTTGAATTTTTTTCACCCCTAAGAGGTACCAATTCGAAAGCAACACATAATCTCGTTGAGCGACTGACAGTGCTAAAAACTCTCTCTTACACTTCGACGGTGCTTCGTCATTAATTTCGACCGGCATAATGAAAAGCTTTACTAAGAGGCCCAGATTAGAAATGACTCGCCTTTTTCAGGCGTTGAAAAGTCGTTTTAACGAAAAAAAGTGGCGACTATGAAGCCTCCACATCATTTCATTTTGTAATGTTGCTTGACGTCTTTGTCAACGAAAGACCTATCGAGTCACTGAGAGCTGAGAGGGTATTGTTATAGAGTATTGTTATAAGTATTATTATAAATTCATGATTAATGTCTGGCAGTTTGACGTGATTGCATTACATCGTGCGGAAGTCGAAACTTCGGTACGATAGAGAGCGGCGAAAATCGAGCCTATTATGTAGTGTTGTCCTAAGAAAATGGAATGAATCATGCATCCCCTTCGTTTCATGCTAACTTCAGCGGATCGGATGTTACAGTAATAATGGGTCAGTATACGTTATCACAATTTTTCAAAGGCTCGACCATCTTTTAATCTTCGGAAGTGCTCGGATGGTCTTGTTAAGTGTTCGGAAATCTTTTTTCTTCGGCTACCTTCGAAAGTCCTCCGATTTCCGTCTGTATTGTTCGTACTAACTTCGGAAATCGTATATGATTGTAATTTTTACCCGAATTAAAACTTTGCACCCGCGTTACACTTTTCTGCACTCGTGTTACAGGGAAACTTCACCCTTTATTAACCATTCAGAATGCAGTATTTTTTCATGTTTATATTATTATGAGAAACACAAAGCAGGTTAAGAGAAAAAACTCAGATTTCATCCTGTAAAATAGTGAAAAACAAAAACAAAAACAAAAACAAAACACATAAACATATGTCATATAAGTCTTTCATTACTTGGTACCTACATAGTTATATATTATTAATCAGTATATTGCATAGTAATAACAGCTGTGGAGCGTTTTCACATGACGTCATGGCGGCCATGTTGGTACTCTCCCAACAATGAAATGCATGGGATCTATAAGCTTTTGCTTGAGAAAACCAATATGGCCGCTTACGAAAACGCTCTTTTAAAGATTGCTTGCGGTGGTCGCTATTTAGCTAGCTTTCTTGATATTCTACTATCCGGACGGGGTACTAACATTAATTTAGACTATGTGCCACAAAGAGTCTTGAACCCTGACCCTGTGGAGGGATAACCCATGGCTTGACCATCTAGAGGAAAATTTTCCTTATATTACAAGCTCAGTTCAAATAGTTTTGCCCACCCATGAAAACAAGTTGCCCTACTGCTGAAAACGCTAAGGAAACCCCTGGCGTCCGGTCCTCTTTGATATTCGACTCCTGCGTCGGGTAAAATAGAAAAATAAATATTTGCAAAAATTCCCTTTTCACCCGATCTCGTTAACTTCTTTAGCTAATGCAATGTAAAGGCCCCCATTTAAGAATCGCAACAGAATCACAATAACAAAAGGGGAAAAATTATACGCTATTTAAGGACCGATAGCCTCAAAGACCCTACCTTATTCCACAAAAGATGCCGGAATACCTTGCATATAGGAGTGCCCTCCTTCTCACAATGGCAAACAACAACAACGCTTACATTTAGGATCACCCCTTCCCTCTTCCCAGCCGCACATACCTGTAAAGGCTACACATGGTAGTACTCAGAGCAGTTTACTACTAGCTGGCACCGCAAGACATGAACGCAACCTTATAAAAGCCTATAAGTATGGTTTCATTTAACTATTGAAAAAGTTTTTTCCTTCAGATTTGGGTATATTCATCTGGATTATGTATTGTATAATTTCATTATGTACATACAAAAGAAAAGTGTAAGTTTACAACGTCCACGACCAGCCTGACTGACTAATCTGGCCAACACCTAAAGCTGTCCCTTCTTGGCGGCGCATTGGTCGCAAACCCTGACAGGGTGATCCCATCCTCTGGAAGGCACAGGTCTCCTACTTTCTGAACAGTTACTACACACGCCCATACCACAGGCACGGCAATGGTGTTTGGTATCACTTTCCTTGAAAGCAGCATTGCAACAGCTACAGGTTACAATGTCGGAGTCTGGTACCCAGTACCCAGGTCTGGCCGCGTCGGTGATCAATTCCTTGGGGTATTCCATGGCGCTTTTTAAAATGCCGACAGCCGATTGGACGACTTCTGTTACTTTTCGAGCAGCGACGGGCCCAAACGGCTGATCAGAATACAGGCTATAATCTTCTTCAATTTGAACAATTTCTTGTGGCGTTTCCTCGTCTAATGCATCCGACAAAGCACTGATCAATGAAACACAAAAGAGAACATTTGTAATGACAGATACGTGCAAAGAATCGTTCCTGAAACTGGCAAAATACCTTAACAAACTTTATGTGATGATTTACGATTTCTTTTGCCAGGTTTTGAGAGCATTTTTGTTTCTGAGAGCACAATGTGAACAAGATCACAGTTCGTACAAAACCGACACAGGCGCGACAGCGAGCTGATTTCAAGTAATTTCCAGTTCGACCAGGATAGAGGACCTACATGAAACCCAGCTAGGTCTGATGTGGCTTCGTCTCTAAATATTGTAATTTAAGTATTGTGCATGTTATTGACATCAGAGACTTCATCCAAAATGCGGCAGTTTTCGAAAATTAATAAATTTAGTAACTTCAGTCACAGCCTTTTTCAAAACCGAGTATTGAAAGTCCGGGTTTCTATTTCACAAGATCAGACCAGCAAGTTCTACTGAATCTATTTTTTTTTTTTCGAGAGAGAGAGAGAGAGAGTTGAAAATTCGATCGTTCGATTTCCCATCACTTGAAAAGTAAACCGTACCTCAAATCGCAGGCCAGCTGCGGCTGAGTCTCTACTGTTGACGATTTTCCAAAACAACTGTCACACACTCGCACAGGCGCCTGACCCCAGCCTCGTTCTGGTACAGGTTTCTTATTGGTTGAACATGCATCGCAGACTCCGCCTCCGCAGGCGCGACAATGGTGCTTAGTCTCCCCATCGGCGAAAAGACGACGACATGACTGGCACGCCTGAAAATGAATGTAAAAGATGGATGATTGCAGTGAAATATTGTGGTAAACGTAGTGTTGCTAGTTCCAGGCGTAATAACTTTGAGATGCATTGGACAGTTTTTCCGTGTAATTCTTCATTTACTTGGTTAAAATATATCAACAAACAATGTATGGGCTCATTAGGGCTTTTGCCATCCAAACTTTTTGTATTATTTGAAAAATTCATCAGTTACCATGTTTCACAAGTTCTTTACATGTAAATGTTTAGAGTCAATTCGTGTCTAGCATGATGCCTTCAGTGCGCCAAATCGTACGGTAATGAGGCAAAACGTAAACAATGACGCATTCGTGTGTCCTTCAATGATGATCGGATCACTGTTGATCAGTCTGATTTCTAGCAACCTGGAGGCAAGTATTTTCTGTTGCTGATTTTCAAACACAAGCCGCTTCAAAAACTTTGTAATTGAAGCGTTTTTAATTTCTAAACTCACCGTTATTTCGGAGTTTGGGACCCAGTAATCCGGGGCCACTTGGTCCGTGATCCAATTGGTCAGCGCTCTACTGGAAGGACTGCTCAAACTGCTGACCGCTTCAGTGACGTAACTGACATTATCCAAGAGTCGCCGCGCCGCGTTACCACCGTCTAGCGGAGCTAAGTTGTCCTGAAATCACGATACAATAAGACAGCTTAATTTTACCATTCATCCAGACCAGATGTCTCTTCATGTGAAGTGTTAATTGGACATCCACGATTTCTTCCTCAAAGCAGATAATTTTTTCTCTGGTGTACAATACTGCTCAATCAATAGAATTACCCACAGATTCACAAACACTCTGAAACCCCTCCCTCCCTCCAACCCCTGGAAAAGGCCTTCAAAAGTGTTTCCTTGTTTTTGAATGGCTGTTAAGTTGTCATATCCGCCCGGCGCCTAAGCTGCGTAGCAGGCGAAATACAAACGAGCTATGGGTGTTCCGTTTCGCTTCTCCAAGCCTTCCTCCACCTCCCCCAAGTTAGCAGGAAACCTAAGCAAACCACGACGGCAACGGCAACGAAAACGTAACGTAAAAGGTTTAATGAGTAGAACAATAGCCATGCACGTGCGTTATAAATCTTTGTACATTTCTTTGCCATCCTCTGCAAAACAGCAACGTGAAATAATCATCTTCTGCATATTTTGGAGAATGTAGGCCACGACGACTAATTTTTCGAGTTTCGTTTTGGAATTGATCGCTGGCATTACATATTTAGTTTAAACAAGTTTTTACACCGATTGGCGTGATGAACAACTTCAGATAGTTACGAAATTCGAGGGTAAAATATAACTTCATTTTTTACTAGGCGTTGTCCCTGGCGTCGCTATTGTCATTGCTTAAGCTCCCTAGCAACGGCAACGACGACAACACAGGTTTCTTGGTGCCCGCTGTATAAGGAGGACATGTCAAGTTTCCCGTAACAACCGAATCTCACCCCAGGCCACGCGTGACGAAGCTCGGTCCTGACGACAGTGTTGACTGGGTCATCATTTCCAAACCAATACTGACGGCTGCGGTAAATCACACCGCATTCGACGCATTCCAGAACATACCTGGGAAACAACAGACAGGATTTGCAGCTTTAGTGAAAAATTCAACTTTAAGTGGTTGAACAATTTTTCCAAACCATGCTTCAGCAAGGAATTTCTCTCTGGCACGACAAGGACTCAACGCACGATAATGCTATAAAAGTACGTTCTATTAAGCCTCTGTGCGTTAATTTCGAGATCAATTTTTGTGGTTACTGGTTTAAGCTAGTCATCACTATGCCATCGGTTATGTTAATCCGTTACTTTTCGGAAGCTTCTGGAGGAATCCCACGAAGCGAGGCCCAAAGAACCTCGAGATTTGCTTGGATTCTTTTAATCAATTTTCACCTTAAAAACGCGATTTTTAATGAAAATAACCGTTTTATTAAACAATACTTTGCAATAAAACCTTAAACGGTGTTAATGAAATCTCGCCCGTGTCACGCGTTTTTTCCTCGCTTCTGTCTAGAAAGAGGACGATATAGAAAATTCAGAGAAACGTCAGTCTTAATTCTTTTTCATGTCAGTCTCGTAACGTCTTTTTTGTACCCTACGTTTTTTGGAAGTCATAAAATCAAAGTGCCCGACTCACTTGGTGAGAAGGAACGCATTTTTCATTAACACCGTTTTCATAAACCCAATCAAATAGTATATATATAAATTATTGTAGACGCGACGGTATACATGAAGTTCTCAGGTCTGATATCACGGCCACTATACTTTTACTAAAATACCTACCCAGACCAGGCATATTTGGCAAAGCCCAGCCAAGAAGAATCCCCAGAGGAACACATTTTGGGGACTACTACGGTCTGCTTTCCTCTCTCGTAACAGGCCTTATTAATGAACAAGAAACAATAAATATCATTTTGAGACAGCAATGGTAACATTCGAGATTGGCTGAGACAGAGAAGACCCATGTTTGAGAATCCGAAACTAAGATTTAAACCAATTTAGACTTACAGAAAGGAAGAAACACAGAATAAACGGGACCGCGTGACTCGTCACCGAAGATTTCGAGATTACGAGATCATATGCCCACGTTTTTCTAGTTACCATTGCTCGCATTAGCTGTGCAATCAAAACAATGTCAGTGATTTGGAAATAAGAAAAGAAGAAAAGAAGAAAAACAAAGAAGAAAAACATTGAAATTAAACTGCACCTTCCAACGGACTGTACGTGAGTCTGGAATTTATCGAGTACGATAGAGAGCTTAAATGAGGTTTAGCTGGTCAAAATTTTAACTGTCAGCTAATACCTGCGATCTGCACAATTCATTGATAACTCAGAAATGGGCTGAAATTAAGACAGCGTCCACACCACGCAGGAGGAATTTTGAAAACGCAGCTTTATTTCTACGCCTAGCGTTCACACTAATCCGTCACGAGAACGGCGCTTTTCGCAAACGCTCTTCAAACCGGAGGAATTTGAAAACGCCGGCTTTTCGTTTTCGTGTGGACGCAAAACATTTTGAAAACGAAGCTTTTCGAAAACGATGGCATCGCGATAATCATGTGACTCCCCTGACCAAGTTTTCCTCAAACACAAATCCAAAATGACCGGTGATTGTTGCGTTTTTAAATTCGTCTGGCGTAGTGTGGTCGGAAAACATTTCAGTGATGCGGAGTGAAACTTCCTTTTTCAAATTCCTCTGGCGTAATGTGGAAGGTCTTAACCAATAGCTAAGAAATTGCAGAAAATTTACCCCATATCTGAGATCTCAGTAGTCTCATCGGTAGAACTTTCCACGGTTTTTTTCCTTTATTGCGCTAAGAAAAACTAACTAAGGGAAAGCTTTCTGTGCAGCTTACCCTGCAAGTGAATATCCTGTTGTCATACTGTGCTTGATAGTGACATCTGCCTTCACTTTGATGCTCGGCTGACTCATCATTTTCATGATTCATGCTTTTTTGACAGCGTGCACTGTAACCATGGAAACAAACGATGCAAGTTTTAAAGAGCTTGTTATGTACATTGTAGCCTAACATTGTGCGCGTCATTTCAGACAAAACAGAAAAAGTTATATTCAGATTGCGAAAACTCTTTAATTTATTATGCAGGAAGATGAACTGGCCTAATGTTCTAATGTTCTAATAATGGTCATCATTTTGTGTAGGACAGAGAACAGGCTTTTGCATTGTGCAATTTAATACAACTATACATACATACATACTTTATTGTTACCTCCCCAATGGGGCTTTTCAGGAACAATTACTTAAATTACTAAGTTACTAATAACTACACAATCAAAATTNTAAAAAGGGGTCTAAATTGTTCCAAAGTCCAATAGTTCTGTAATAAAATGTTCTTTGTCCTGAGGCTGTTTTAAAAAAAGGTATATCAAGCTATGCAATGGAAAAGTTTTTTCTAATGTTTTGTAATGGCCATATCATCTTAATGGCTCCACAAAGCTACTTCCAATGGACACAGAATTTCTGTTAATGGTTATGCTGACCATTCTATTGGGTTGATGATTACTTTTAATAGCTAGGCTTCAGAACAGCTCTAACATTTCTGGGATGGCTTCTCAACAGTCAGATGACTAAAAGATGCTCAACACCATGACCAGTTAAATGAACAATATGTTTACCAGCGAAAGGCCATGCAAAGTTTTAGGCTCATCGCACAGTAGGAAAGGAATGTATGGCAATTATGAAAGAAGGAACCTGCAGTGGAGCCATTAATGATACTGTCTTCAAGTCCCTTCATGCTACCGCCGAAGTCACTCACCAAGTGTTCTAGACAAGCATAAGATGATTCCAAGCTTAAGCAGGAGGACCTGATGCTACATACAAGAGTATGGCATGGAGGTGGAAGGAGGGATGGATGGGAAATTCATCCTTAGCTAATGGTACTAATTTATACTACAGTGATACTCAAGCCAGTTACATATACTTTAAGACTACTCACTTGCATGAGAGACAGGTTGCCTGGCAGGTGAAGTATGCATCAGGGAAGGTGTTAGGTATCATTCTCTCAATGCCACCACTAAACTTCTCATTCAGAAGCTAATTAAAACAAGTGAACATCAAAATCAGGAACTGTACAACAAAACTCAAATCAAAAGCCTTGGTCCCACTACCAAAGGTCCAATGTCACCATGTGATCATAAACTGGTTTCTTCATGGACAAAAGTACACTGAGTAATATTGATAATTTAGAACACCAAAAAACTGCAATGGTTAAAAAAAAGTTATGTACATGTAGAACAATGCAGCTGTGTGTAATTTGTATTGACAATAGCAGTTAATACAGAAAATTAATATAAAGGTTTACCATCAAGGCTTTATAGATGATGGCAGGTGAGCGTGATGAACGAACAGAGCTGTTAGCTAAACATTCTTTCACAGTTTGTTTCAATTCTGTGAAGTCAGTTGGCGGCGATTCAGTCCTTGTGCCCAAGTATTTGATGGAGCTGAATGCATGAGGAACTCGGCCTACATCTGCAAACCTCTCCTTGATAATCTCGTCAGGACTTTTCACATTTGTTGTTTCTAATGAAGTAAAAAAGTTAAATATTTACAATGATAAAAAAGAAAAGCACCTTCCAAAATGGGGGTTGCTTAGGGCACCTGTAGCAGGTGAGATGGCATTACTCTACTCAGTAACAGTGGAACCCATTGATCTGACCACTAACAAGTTGTTAGAACCTGGTTGCATTATAATTAATGGCATACTTAAGAGGTTTACAAGAAAATTACTGTCTGAGCTTTATTCCATGCAACGACAGTCTCATTATATTGTAATTCAGGGCTGTCATTAAGTTTTGAGTCACCTGTAGCCTCATTCTCCACACCTGTAGCAAACTTGTTACTTCACAATGTGGTTGAATTCTATCAGCAACAGGCAATTTCACCAGTAGCCTCACAGGAAAATCAAGCGTACTCGGCCGTAACAGGTGTTACAAGTTATGGCCCTTATTGACAGCCCTGTGATTGGTATGGATTCTACAGTTTTTGTAATTAGCAGTAAACCCTAAAGTTATGTGACCTGGAAACTTATTGGTCTAACCATTCCAACACTGACCCATCCCTGGTGGTCTTCAAACAACATGTGACATGGCACAGGGTTGGGAACCAAGGGGTGATGGAAGGAGGGAATTGAAGAGGAGCTGTCTTCCGCTTTCTCCCAACCCATCTCATCCTTTGCTCCCACCTCCCCCTGTGTCGCATGTTTTATAAAGTTGTATGAAGATGACTGGGGACTAGCTAGTTTCCAACATGTAGTTAGCACGCATGATGCACACGCAAATTATATGAATATAATAAAAATAACTACACTTCACTTAAAACTGCAGATCTGAAATGAAGCAAAAGGTTAAATTAAATGTACACATGTCTCTCTACAAACTTTTATTTGTAAACCTCTTCCAACCTGAAGGGTTAGTCTCATTTTGCGATATTCCAAGCAAGTGGGTATGCTGCGTCTCATGAAAAATAATCACCGCTGGCCCCAAACTACACAGAGGCACATCCATGTGACATCTTTCAGTGGCGTCTTTTAGCTCCTTGGTGAAATGCTTTAGATACGCATCTGAGGCATCTCCAAGGAAAGTGAACATGTCTGTATGAAGCCTCTCAGCTCTTGTTCTGTACAGGATAATGTCAGATATTGCCAGGACTTTTAACAACAGCCTTGTCCGCTGATTCTGGTTCCCAGACATGCCTAACAACCCCTCTGTATCCAAGACAATGGCACGATTGACATCATCGTATGCAGCCCACACGCCCACTGTACAGGAAAGCTGAGATGATGAAGTCGGAAATATCTCTTGGCCATCAAAAAATGTGTGGTTTAGGGTGTGCGACTTTCCATCACCCGTATTACCAAATATGGATACAACTTTCATGCCTGTTTCACCATTACATGAGAGCTTTGTTATAAAGTCATTGACTGTATGCACCTGTCAGAGAAGGAAGAGGTATATTCATTTGATTTTATTAAATACTAATAATAAAATTTGCTACAAATCTGACACAAAAGGGGATGGCCTTAAAAAAGGTCAAAAAAGTGTGTGGGTTTAATAAACCTGGTTATTCTAGATAGTAGCCAATTACTGCAAAGTTTACAAGGGTGGGAGGCACGGTGTCATGGGCAGTGTGCTCATCTTGAGATCAAGTGGTCTGGGTTCAATTCCTGGCTGAGGACATTGTGTTGTGTTTTTGGGCAAGACACTTTACTGTCACAGTACCTCTCTCCACCCATAACATCTCACCCAGGGGGGAGTAAAATTAATACTCCCAATCACTTCACGTTACAGAAACCAGAGATAAGCCCCGACCTGATGGGCTACTTGGCTCGTATGAGACAAGGCTGTAGAACAGACCTTCATGTTTCTTCATGATTACCAGTCACACAGCGAATTTGAAGTTAAGTCACTACACTTATAAGTTTAACATTTTTGATTGAGCTTGACTCTCTGGTTTGATTTTTTTTAACCTGACTAAAACATAAAGACACAATCTCTGAATAATTTGTCAGAACTGCCAGGCTAAAAAAAGTGCCAGATATTTGCTCTCTTAGGCCTGGCTTCGCAGCAAAAGTGCCCTGTCTGTGGTAGTGCTCTACGCAACTTACTATGTACAACAAATAGCACAACACTCGCATCTAACGCTAGAAATATCCTACACACTGTTGTATAACGTCACGAGTAATTACATTCAGGTTCAAAGTGCATTTCAACTGGTCCAGTAAAACAAGAAAGAACATCTCTCGCATGTGTTGTTCGATTGTGTAATGTTGCTACGGCGAGTTCAGTTATCAATATCGCTTATTCAAAAACCAACGCTACAGTGATGTACCTGGAGATTTTCCTTTTCGTCTAGTAGCAAGAAGCTTCTTTGCTCTTGATCTGTAGTGGTGTTTTCTGCCGCTGAAGATGGTGAAGCCTTCTCCGAAGTTGGCAATTTACTTCCCTGTGTTACAGTAGAAATCAAAACGTTAATCAAGACTTAATACACGGCAACATCTCAGAATCAGATAAATAATCTTCAGCACTAGTTCCTGGTGTTATATAAACCAGCTGTTACGCTAAAAATAATAATTCAAGCTATAAATATTAGTCCTCGATTGCGATATCAGCATTCTGTCCACTGTATACCTTGATTTTGCTCTTTCGAGCAGACGATTTCTTTGTTGGATGGTTTAGTGGTATAGCTTCATCTACGTCATTGGAATCGGGTAATGTAGCGGCCATTTTGGGAGTTACTTTCATGGAGGCATTCGTCTTGAAAACAAACTGGAAGAAAATTTTTTCTTTGAAAAGTGCTGACTCGAAATAAAAGACCTGGGTACGACAACAGACTTGGTAGCCACACCGCCTTGGTCTTTCCCATAACGCCCTTTGGCGTTCTTAGCTTTGTAACCTGGTCGTCTTGTCTATGTTCTCGAGCACAAGATGGGAAAAACGAAGGAAAATAGTGATTCCAAACGTAAAAGAAAACGGGTTGCAGTCGAATCAAGTAGCGATGATGACGAGAGTGAACAAGACTTAGAGGAGGTGAACGCAGTCGTTTATAATGTCCAGGTTTATTGATGATAGTAGAAGTGGTAATTGACTTTGAAAGTTGTTGTTTACGCGCAGGAACTGAAGTCACTCGCCAAGCGCTCTAGACAAGCGCAAGATAATTCCAAGCCGCAGCGATCAGGAGATTCAGACAGCGACTTGGACTCTTCAGAGGGAAGTGATGATGAGGTAAAGCTTGAAAGGATTCAACGAATCCTTTCTTTGTGTTTCTAATTTAACACCCTACAATTATTCGCGCGTGACGCCAATCGACTTGTAAAAAGCACTGCAAAGAACGCTTGAGCTGCGTCCCAAACATACTACTGTTCGTAGACAGGGGCTATGTAATGGCATTGAATTATATTTAGCAGTACAGCTATCGTCATGCTCTTCTTTGGCAAAGTTTGCAGGAGTAAACCTTGTTCTTTGTAAAAGTAAATTATGTGAGTACTCGATCACACCTCTTCCCTTCATGTCAGAATGCTAAATTTGTTTTGCATGGGTCAAGGGGCTTGGGCAAGAGGGAAGGTAACACCACTTATTAATTTTGGAAAAATGTTAATGGTTGCAAATGTACAGCTATATGTTGGTGCACAACTAAACTATTTTCGCACCAGATCATAGGAGCTCTTCTACTTCATGGCCACTCTAAACTCCAGAGAGGGGGTGATGAGGGTATTAAGTGTAGACACTTTTTCTGAGAATGATTTTTCCCATTTTACTTTGGGGTGGACAATTTGACTTCTGTTAGGGAGGGTGGTGGATGGGTATTTGAGTAAAGAATATTCTACAGGCATGCTTGTACGAAAAAAAAAAAAAATTATGCAGACGACCACTGCCAAATCAAAAATCCATGCACGTTCAGTGAGCCAAAAAACACATGGTACATGGAGAAAAAATATCATGCTGTTGTCCCGAGAAAAAAATTTCCTAGGGCGTGAAATGGCAAAAAAAATTGTGCCTGTACCAAATCATCCCCTGAAATGTCAAAGGGTCCATCCCTTAAACAAAATGGCTATTGCGTTAAAATACATGCATGCTTTCTTATCCACTGAAAAAAATATAATTATTGTCTTTAAAATTTGCTGCCTTCATGTATAGTAAATGCAAGAGTTGTACATGTGGGACATGTCAAACAGAATTTTCAGAGCCAAAGGAGTTCAATGATCACACTGTTTGGGATTGTAAAGAATACAATGTGGTTTTAATAAAGTTGTACTGTCCTGAGAGTTGTAAGTTTACCGTATAAAATACGAGTTTCTAAATCTCCTATAAATCACTTTGTGTTCTTTTTGTAGTGGACTATGGATTCTGAAAATAGCAAAGGCAAAGCTGCCAAAGCTAAGGAAAAGAAAAAAGGTCCTAAGAAGGCTTCATCATCTGGTTCTTCATCAGAAGAAAGTGGTGAAACGTCATCTGGTGGTAAGTGCTTCTGTTTCCACACATGTATGTAGAAATTTATCAATGATACAAGTTACTTTTAGTACTAGCAAAATAATGATCATTAGGTGCCAACCATGTAGGATCTTTGAGGATTTCTAAAGGTCTTGTAAAAGATGTTCAAAGACTTGACAGAGATGTTGAAAGACAAGGATCTTCGTAGGATCATTGAGGATTTGAGGCAAATCTTTGATGCTGACAACAATCTTACAAAGATCTTAGCAAAACTTTGCTGGTATTGCTGCAAGAAACATAAGATCCTTGAAGGTTCTTGAAATCACTTGCGATCCTTGAAAATCCTTTTACTGTATATGTTTGGGGATCTTGAATATTCTAAGGATCTTTTTGGCTGCTGTAAATCATATTGTATGAAGACAATCAACAAACCTTGGAAGACAGAAACAGACAAAATAAAAAAAAAATCACAACCCACAAACTTGACCTTTTGAAATCATTAAAGTAAGCATCTGCTTCCTGAAAGGTCTGTTGCGATGATTGACAGTAGCAAAACACAAAACCATTGATTGAGAGTTTCCTTAACTATTACTGACAGCTACTGTGCAGTAAGCCCTGCCATTCCTCAGCACAAAAATGTTCTTCCCTTATGTTTGCTACTCTTTCTTGTGTCAAACAGAGTCCTCATCATCATCATCATCCTCGGAAGATGAAGAAGATGAACAGTATCACGATGGCTGGGATGATAACTTGATGGGGGATGAAGCAGACAGGGAAAGACTTGAAAAAATGACAGAAAAAGAGAGAGAACAAGAAATATTCAACCGTGTTGAGAAAAGAGAAGCTCTGAAAACTAGATTTGAAATTGAAAGGAAACTACGGCTTGCTAAGAGAAAAGAAAAGAAAAAGAAGCGTGAAAAAGAAAAAGCAAATCTTGAGAAAGAGGGTATAGCTTTGAGGAAAAAGGAACGAAAAAGGCATATTGAGGAGAAGAAGGCCAAGGCACTGGACGATTTAAAAGCCAAAAGATCAGAAAAGAAGGAGAGAAAAGTTGCAGAATCATTGGCAGAACAGAAAGAGCCACAGTTGAAAGCCAGCGATGTATTTACAGATGATGAGGATGAGGATGAACAAGAGGAAAGTAAATCAAGTTCAGGGGAAGGATCATTCCGAGAATCTGAAGAAGAGTACGTAAATAATATTAACAACCAGGGGCTCCACCAGTAGTATTTACTGTATTGGCAGACAAACTAATTGGATTGGTCTGGCCTCTTCAACGGGGCCACTGTCCCTACAGCATACAGTTTGTACATGTACTTTTTTAAGGTTGGAAATGAAAGGAGATTTGTCATTTAGACAAATTATACTGTTAGAGTTCCACACAAGAGTACTTCTTCTGTATTGAAATACATGTACTGTTTGCAATCTTTGGAATTTTTCAAATGTGTTTACGAAAGGATGACTTGCTGGAGTCTAGATTGAGGACTGTGTGTTCCAGGGGATAAAGGACCATGTAACATTGTCTTTCAGGTACTTCCTGGCCCCATTTGGCCTGAACACAGTACAGAAAGCATTGCAAACTTGCAGCAATATATTGTTAGGAATACTTTCAGAAGTGCAAAATTTAATATTCATCAGTACATGATATAATTGTAGTGTTCAAGATTTAACATGAATGTTCGTGCCAGTTGTTGTTCTAATCATTTATTTATTTTTTTTGTGTTCCAGACAAGGTGATGAGGAGCCTCAAAGAGTAGCATCAGTGGATGATCTGGAAAGAATAAGAGTATCACGGCACAAGCTTGAAAGGTAACAGTGAATTTATGTTATATTATTATATGGCTAGCTCCGTGAGCGGGCAAGGTGAACCAAATCTTTCACTGTGATTGGCTACCCAAGCGGACAAGATGGAGCTATCTTGCCTGCTCAGGACTACACTGTACATGTACCCACCATGTCCCACGAGAAAGCCAAATAATAAATCCTTTATTGACCAAGCTTGTTTGGTCAAGATGGCTGGATATTGGTCTTGTTCGTTTTTTGCGTGTTTATGGACCTAGACGGAGATGAGGTCCATGAACTCGCAAAAAAAGTCTAACTTGGCCAATATTCAGCCATCTTGACCCCACGCTTGGTCAATAAGTCATATGTATTGCACTGAAAATACTGTCAGTAACGGTTGTGCTACAGTATGGTGTGTAATATAATGTACATGTAAAGTACATTGTTTAATCCAAACAATATTTATTGGATGTTACTCATACAGTGTACATGTAGTTTGGTAATTAAAGTTAATTTAAAAAAACACATTGGCTGGTGAACAGGAGTGAGAGGAACGTATCAGCTAAATGTAGTTGTGTATCATACAATCAGGGCTGTGCTCTAGAAGCTCCCTGGTGCCACAGGCAACTAACTTTTGCCCTTGGGCAACTGGAGAAAAAAAAAAATTTTTTTTTCATTTTTAAACTTAAGGGCTGGACACCCTGGATTTCATGGTTAGCAACCTTTGGGCTCCTCATAATAATTATTTTTTCTTAGACCACAGCCCTGTCAATGCACGTAGTAATTTATTTTAATTTTGAAATTATAACCAGGTTTTGTTACTTGTCATTTTCAGATGGGTACACATGCCATTCTTTGGCAAGATAGTAGCTGGATGTTATGTCCGTGTTGGTATTGGAAGTCATGATGCACGGCCTGTTTATAGGGTGAGGGTTATAGATTTTAGGTTCTTAGGTACTTCTGCTAAGTAATCTTTGACATTTTGAACCAGTTGTCCTTCTACTGTACACCCTTTTCCCTCCAAAGTGGTCTTGGAATACAATACATGTACATGTATGCCAGCATGTAATTTTGGTTTTTGATTAAGTTTACAAAGCAACAACATCATGGAGGAGTATGGTTAAAACAGATTTTTCTTATAAACTAGAACATTATGTTAAGTTCTCCCAAAATTTTTACCAAGATAAAGTGCCCCTGTTATAGGACCAAGACACTTTAATATCACATAATTTGTATGTAATTTATTCATTCTATTTTCTAGGTTGCTGAGATAAGAGATGTGGTGGAAACAGCCAAAGTGTACTCTTTAGGAACAACAAAAACCAATAAGGGATTAAAGTTGAAGTAAGTCGCTACACTGTACATTTTAAGTAATTTGACAGGACTTCTTGGTAACAAAATCATGATAATAATAAATAGTCCTTGCCTTTTTTGGTAAGAAAATGTTAAATTTTGCTCTGAGGTGAATCTAGCACCAATACCCTACACTATCTGATTTATTTCTTTTCACTTCAATATTTCAATTAAGGTCAATTAAGCAAGTAAGAGATTCTCCCTGGCTTTGCGTGAGAAATATTTTAAAATTAAAGTCAAATAAAAGCAACAACATAAACTACATGTGCTATGTTTTTGGTAATAACAGCTTGTGTATGCCTTAAAGCATCCCCTGTTTCCACATGTTCATGTTGTTTCAATTTTTCAGCAGTAGCAATGAGCAAATTAAGATGCCCTGTTGGGTCAGAACTTTTATTCATTATGAAATACACCATGTATATAATCCAAAACTGAATTTTCAATCAAAACATTTTCAAGAATTTCCAACCCAAGGCAAATTCATAGTATAGCAACATACAGTATATATTACTTAACTCACTTGTTTACTGTGGATCAGTTGTTTCACTTAAATCTGTTCTATTTTCTCTCTGTTTCTTTTAATAGACATGGCAATCAGGAAAGAGTGTTTCGACTGGAATTTGTATCCAATCAGAGATTTACAGAAACAGAATTTATTAGATGGAAAGAAGAGGTATGGATGTGGATTCTTTTAGCCCCATGATCTCATATATAAATTCTTGTTATTTAGCAGTTTCTGTGCTTTTCTTTGCTAATAAATTGGAGAAGTTTTTCATTAAGAGGCAATGATAAATAATTATAAATAATAATAATAATAATAATAATAATAATAATAATAATAATAATAATAATGAATGAATGATAGGTATCATTTTTATAACGCTAATTCTGTGTAATCTGTTTAGTGCTTTTAAGTCATCACTTAAAAAATAGATTTACAAAAATGGACTTCACAAAACATTTACAGCAAACAAAACTACCCTCTTACATGTACATCAGAATTATGAATTAATAGCCCTTTGGGATGAGTGTGTTTTAAGTGCCATTTTAAATAAAGATACAGCAAATTGTGATTCATCCTGGGCAGACCTTTTCTGCCAGGGCATTCCATAGGCTCAGGGTAGTTGCTGCAACTGAGAAAACTCTTAGGTCATCTTTTAATTTTTGGTACCTGTGTGCTTGGTTCAGTGTGGTAATTGAGATAGGAAGTCAGTGGTTAATCACTATTTGACTGGTGTGCTTTTGTTCTTTGGGGGCAGTGTGAATCTCATGGCATTCCTCTACCTACACTTGATGAAGTGGACAATAAGGCCACACAATTTAATGACGCGCGGCATTACATGTACAACGAGGATGATGTCGACAAGGTATGTGATCGGTGAAAGCCAGGTTTTTTGTAAATATCAACAAGAGATTACATTCTTTCCTGACCATTCCAGACACTTTCCACTTTACTGTGAAAATGCGACATACTGCAGACATCATATGTTTTGTTTTAAAGGTCAATAATTTTTATTTTTTTTACCGTGATACAGATTGTAGCAGAGAAGCAGAAGTTTAGAAAAACACCATTTAATTACGCTCAGAAGAAGAATCATTTAATGCGATCAAAGGTTAGTACAGACAGGTACCACATGTGCCCATTTGTAGAAAGGTGCTATAGTGTAATAGGTAGTTTCTAGACTCTGAATCAACGGGTTTGTGTCTTACATGTAGGTGGAGTAAGCATGGGGCTTAAGGTTAACTTTTTGAGACGCTGGTCCATGTCTTGTTAGTAGCATGTACATGTAAGATTTTACTATCCAAGACAATTTTTAGTTAACCAAATTTCCTGCTAGTTAGGTTTTGGTTCAGGATTTTTTCCCGTGCCTAGATAGATCTCATAAGGTTTGAAATTGAGAATTTGAGATATTGACTTTTTGTTGTTCTGACTATGTTCAGCTTTTGCATTTGTTATCACAAATAACAACTATGCCAAATTTATTTTTGATAAAAGAAAATTGCCAAGGAGGCTAGGTAGAAATAAAAACATAAAACCCATACGTCAATTCTTTGCTAATCTGCGACTTCTTGGCTAATGTCAGTCTCAAGCTCTGCATCGTGTTGTGTTACTGGGAAGAACACTCTACTCTTGTAGTGTCTCTCATCAACCAGAAGTTAAAATTGGTGCTAATAAGATAATTAATTGTTAAGGCAGCCTAAAATAAGTTTGAAAGTGACTTGTAATCACCATGTATCTCATCCAGGCGTAGCTTAGAAATACTGCTATTGCCATGGACACCGTGGTATGCTCCAGTTGTGTAGACAATTTAATTTGGACACTCATAAACTTGTTACATTGTACATCTTTCGCCCAGTTCTATATATATATAACTTATTTGTTTATAGGAAGTAGCAGAACAAACCGGAAATTTGGAAGAAGCAGAAAAAATTCGCGGTGAGCTGGAGGATTTGGAAGAGAAAGCTCAGCATCTGGACAAAGTGCGATCAAAGAACCTAAGTGCTATCAGGTGCGTGGAAAATAGGAGCTTAGCACCACACTGCTTAATTTACTAATTCTCCTTACAGGATGCTATATTTCATTTCTGTTAGCTTTAGTTAATAGTGCCCCAAGCCATGACCCGCTACTGTAGTTGCTGACTTTCTTAATTCTCACTATTGTTTGCTAGATAATGCATGGATATACATATGAGAAGAAAATAAATGTCAATATTGGGGCTCTTCCCATTCGACCAGAAATTCCGGGAATTACGGGAGGAAAATCAAATAGACCGGAAATTGCTGGTCAGAAATTTTGTAAAATATACTTCGTGAAGTTGTCCCCTTTACCTGAAATTCTAGATAAAGGTTCTAGTCGCCACTAGAAATTCCCGGTTTAGAAATGGAAACAGGAATATTTGATCGAATGGAAAGCGCCCTTGGTCATCCTGGAGAATACTGTTGACTTATTATGTTTCAAACGTTTTACAGTTACATCAATGAGCGGAACAGAAAGAGGAATATTGTTGAGGCAGAGAAAGCCGCGGCAGTAAGTTTCACTCTTGTAGACAGGGAAGTGACTGCTGCTTTTATTAACAAGTGATTTAATTTAGAATATTATGATTCTTATAATCCAGTCTTCATACACGCGTTAGTAATTGTTCCGAAACTTGCCCATTACAGTAACTTTCGTCAGCAAAGTCGGGGACCCTCCTCCTTTCGAAAACAGGTCCACGATGTTTAGGAGAATATTGATTGGTTCTCTGAACGGTCCTCATCTTGCAAGATGGACCACTCTCGGATAAGTTTTAGCGAGTTGCGTGTTCAAAACATTCTACAGAAGAAAACAGTTTGTTGTTAAAAAGAAATCGTTTTCCTTCATGTGCAGAGGACAATTTCAGTTGAACTATCACAAAAGCGATCTCTAAAACTAAAATAGATTCTTAACTTTGACGCGCGCATTTACCGAGAATGGACTGCGTACACGCATTAATTTATCGGTAGAGTTTTGAAAGAGCCATTGCAATAAATTCTTTATTGAACTAACTTGTTCGATACTGACCACACGTTAGTTCAATAGCATAGATTAATTTTATTCAATGTCTAGAAAACGAAAAGTGGCAATTGTTGGGCACAAGTAAAGTGTTGTCTTGCAAAGTGCCTGTAAGGTTTATTTTCAATGGTTCTTTACTTTTTAAACAGGAAGAAATGATGAACGAGGAGCAAAAAGCTGATCCATTTACAAGACGAAAAACGCTTCCTCAGCTTGTGTCTATGGTAAGTTTGATGCTCTGACATTGTGCAGAAAGTAAATTTCAAGTAGCATCTAAAACACGAAAGACCGTGTTTGACCACATTACCAAACACCGAGAAGAGAGTTGAAGATACGACACGTTGCGGAGTATTTTTGACAAACTTCGAGGTGTTTGGAAATGTGATCAAACTCTGTCTTGAGTGTTTGATATATCTTCTCAATCGAAACTAAAACTAAGGAGAAAACAGAGAAATAAAATCGTAAAAATCTATGCTAATTAAGATGAGATACCTAAACACCGTCATGGTCACAATTTCCTTTGATTAAATAGAAGTTCTCTTTGAGTTACATTTGAAAAAATAAATTGTTGAGGTTTCGACCACGCCAATTGAGAGGTCAAATTTCATAAATTCCTTACATATTTTGGGATTGAAAATAATTTTTTTTTAAAAGTCCGTACATTAAAGTATAAGATGAGAAAATATATGAGCCAAATTGAGTGATTATTTCCACGGTTGTGATGAACGTATACATGTTATAAAAATCGAAAAATAGCATCTAGTACCAACTTAAACTTGATAAATTATTAATGAGTTTGAGAATAAGAAAACTGCAACTCGTGATAGTAAGAACCTGCATCACCGTGGAATACATCGTGAGCTAAAATTTGTCTCGTGCGGTTTTTTCACTGAGGGCATGTACGGGTCTACTTTGAACCATGAATGCATGAGGAGATTTTTCCACAAAGTGTAAAGTGCTTTCAACAATTTTAGTTCCTTATCTCTGCCGGTGTTTACAGTGTATCGTCTTTTTCTGTAGCATGAAGCGACTAGAGTATTTCTGCTCCAACGAGAATGGTATACAGACTGATGAAGACTAGAAATAAGCAGTCGAAACATTGTGATCTACATCACAAGCGAAAAACGACAGTACTTTATAATTATGAGATGCTTGTTTGTCGCAGTAGTATTTTATGGCTCATGATAACTGACCTAACCTGTCTGCATTTGCTTTCAGAGCAGGAATGTGTAGTTTGATTCGATGTTCACCGTTTTCGCTCCTTCCTTTTTTGTAATTTTTAGGTGAAGAACGCCCCAAGTCCTGTAACGAGAACTCTCACGGAAAACGAAGAAAATATTGAGGTAGCACCGTCATCTTCAAGTTCACAAGTCACCATCACTGACGGAGTGAGTCTGGATTCGTGTTTGTTGTACATGAAGTGTCTAAGATTTGTGTATCACTTCTGCTGCGTATAAAACAACGTGCGAAAAAACACCAAACATTTTGGTGTGGGAGGCCGGGACGATAAAGGTAAAAGTTCGTATAACCAATGAACAGTTTGCAAGGTCATGAAAGGCCCGTTTCCATTCCAAAACGGGCAAGCTTAATTTTAAGAGCAATTTTATTGTGGTAGTGTGTAACTTGGTGCAACTTGTTTATTGCAAACAATAGTGAGAATTGCTGTAGAATGAATAAAGGCCTTTTTGGAATGTCTATTACATCAACTGTATTTTTCTTCTTCTAGGCTTCCTCCTCAAGTCAACCAACGGAAACAGCTGTAAGTTGTTCTCATTTTTGAGCAAATGATCTCACTAACCTCACCTCATCTTACCTTATTCCACCAGTACCCGTCCCTGCCCCTCATTAACCCACCCTACCCTGCTCAACCATATCCTATCCTATCCCATCCTATCCTATCCTATCCTACCGTATCCTACCGTACCGTACCGTACCGTACCGTACCGTACCGTACCGTACCGTACCGTACCGTACCGTACCGTACCGTACCGTACCGTACCGTACCGTACCGTACCGTACCGTACCGTACCGTACCGTACCGTACCGTACCGTACCGTACCGTACCGTACCGTACCGTACCGTACCGTACCGTACCGTACCGTACCGTACCGTACCGTACCGTACCGTACCGTACCGTACCGTACCGTACCGTACCGTACCGTACCGTACCGTACCGTACCGTACCGNCCTACCCTACCCTACCCTACCCCTCCCTACCCTACCCCGCTCTATCCTATCCTGCCCTCGCCCTTTCTCTCCATGTCTGTCTCGCCTCACCTCGCTCAAGGAATGTTTCCAATTTCTAAGCTTCTGATTTTTCTCGGTAGGTCTCTGATATAGATAGACTGTTGCAACTACCAGAGGCCGCAGCTGGAGCCCAGGTCCTTGAAAGAAAACCTTCGCAGTCAGAAGATCTATTTTCCGCTCACAACTTTGACATCACTATCAACCTCGACATCCCCGCACCTGGGACAGGTAAATAAAGTCGTTTTAAGGTACCTTTGAGGCCTTCTTTATAAATTTATTTAACATGGATGTGGCGCTAAAGAAAACTTCTCTTTGTTTCATTGTGTGATTAATTCGAGCCCTCTGTTAACAGAATCACGTCCAGCTGTAGCAACTCCAAGACCTGCAAATAACGAGAGGGACGGGGCACCAAGACGATCACTAAACCTTGAAGACTACAAGAAACGAAGGGGACTGATTTGAATTACGTGAAAGTTGGACTGGACTTGGGTCGAAAACGCTGCGTCGACTCGAGTTAGATCACGTAAAAGGAGACAAAACTTTGTGTATATTCATGTTTCGTAGAACAAAGCAAACATTCTCTGTGTTTTTCTTGCTCCTTAGCTTTTATGCATGTTTTGAACTGAGAGGCGAAGTTACAATTTTAAGAGTTTGTCCGGGAGTGCGTTCTGTTTGATCAAGGGAGTAGGCCGCCCACTACAGTAACAGAACACCCAAATGTTTTGTTGTTAGCTGGGCAACGGTAAGGAATTCTCGTAGCCTAACAGTTACTAGCCTTCGTAGCTTGGTGGTGTAAGCAATTTGAACGCGCTAACAAAGCGGCAAAGCACTTCAATTAAGCTACGCAGGTTAAACAGTTACAGTATTTTCTTATCACTGTCGGAAAACCAAGAAAGCTTTTGATCAATTACAGCGAACGCAGATAACGCAATTGACCAATCAGGACTCAAGGAAAGCAGCCCGTGCAAAGCGCGGGAAAACGCGCGTGAAGGAAGTCACGTTGACATTGGTTCTGTTCCAGATTGGTCCAGTACGTTACACGATAATTCTTTTTAACTATTTACAGAACAAGCACGTGATTACGTCAAAAGAAAACCAGTAATTGGAAACCGCACTTAAAAGCGATATGACCCTGAATGTGATCCTGTGGATTTACTTAAGATTTAGTCGAAGTACTGCTTTTAATCTTGCCCAGGGGTGCACCTTTTTACCTTTTTAGACATTTATAGTCATATTTGCCTAAAATCTGAGCCTGATGCAGCCCCTGCAAGCCGCGAAATATTGGTGTGTTGTCTGACAGACTGGAGTAGATTTAAACAAGCTACTGACGACTTTTGATCAGAGTTCCAAATTTGACCGCGAAAGTTCACTGAAACTGTACGAAAAAAAATATGTCGAAAAGCGTTCTTTCATTATTGCTATTCATGAGTAACTTATGTAATTAAGTTGCCTGAGGGCCACTTTGTAATAGGAAAAGAATGTTTCTTGATTCCTTGTCGTGGCCCGGCATCTACGAGATTTACGCGCACAAAATCACCAGGGCTACCACGTGTTTTCCCGCCAAAATATTTTGGTTCACCATATTGAGTAGCCTTTGACTGTTCCAAACCTACGAACCCGTAGATTTAAGTTAAACTCGCACTAGAATCCAAAGCTCTTCATTGATCCAAAAAACTGAACCTTCTTTTACTCATCTTAATACCTAGATAATCCAAGAGCACTTTGTTTTCGCGAGTAACGACTAAAACAAACCCGTCATTCGCTCCCGATTTGCCATTGAACCCCAAACCCACTGGGTTAGCCTCGAGAGTGATCAAAATCTTATTTCATACCATATCACTACATCGTCAATGAGACAGGTGCTGAGAATAACGAAAATCGTCAACTTAGCGAAATTGGTTTGATGTATTTCCAAATTCTCTGAACTAGCATTTAAGAATGTACCGCAAAACATGAGATTTAGTATGTTGATGTTTGTGAACTTTCTGCCAAATTTATTATTGTGTTGGCTGATAAGCCTTGCCTTTCAGGGACAACTCTTGTAAATAACATCCAATTACCTGTAATTACGATTCTGTGGTCTTCAAGTGTTTTTTGAGAGCTTTGTGTGTGTTTGTTACTTTTAGTCATGTTCTCAGTGGTATTAAAGGGACTTTTCTTTTCCCATGTTGAACGACATCATTTCGCGTACTTGTTAAAACGATCTTTTGCCATTGTCAACTTCGTTTACTGAAATAATTGAAAAAAGGCAACTTTGTCATAGCAGAGACACTGCGCCGGGTGTTTAAAAGGAAGCTTGGACAGTGTTTAGAAGTTATCGCGAGATCAGGTTCAAAACAAAACATATTCTTAACACAATCAACCGGTCATCTACGTTATTTTAACTGGAATAATACAAATTGTTAACTTCAATTCCGCCATGAGCTAGGTTTAACAAAATGTTGGTTTAATTTTCATCCAGCGGTCATGCCGGCAAAAATGTAACGCTTCTTACGGTTTTGGTGATCTAGCTGTTTGTAATTGGAGTGTAACTCTGATAAAGCGAAAAAATACAAGACTTTCGTGAGAAAACGTTAGCATTCGGCCGCTGGGAATGCTGAACATGTTGGCGGGAAATATGGTTGCCAAGCAACACGATGTGCACTTGTAATTAATGTGAAATCGTTGGGACTGCTGTGCTGTTTTCTGAATATGACCTTTTTCCAGATTTGTGAAAAGCAACCAACAATATCCTGGAACGGTTTTCGGATTACACAGCATTTAGTCCAGAAGTTGTTTAGATCACTTGTCTTAGGCATAAACGCGGCCTGACGCGAGATATTGGCGGGAATCGAGCCTTGACTGGTCTTAGTTCGTAGCTAACACGGTAGATGTGTTCTTCGAAATTCTCTTTCATACATACCCTTTCATGCGTTACTACATTGTATTGCTTTCCAATGAAACTCATTTTATGTAACGTTATTGTAAATTTTTTGTAATAAATTCTGCAACAGACAGTGTATTATCTGTTTTGAATGTCTACCCACAGTCAACGGTCGAGGGGTTGCTTTAAGGTCATTCCCCAGTATTGCATTGCGAATCCCTACTGAGTATAATTTCACGCGTGATTAGCGCGCGCGCATTAAAAAATGGCGGCTTTTTCTTTACAGCTGGACCTCGCCATAGAGGTAAATCGTCATTTTCTCGCAAACGAGTATGGTGACCTATCATTTTTTTTCTGTTGTTTTGAATTGAGTAATAAATTTCTCTGTGTAAAATAAATATGGACCAATTCTCATTGTAGAACAAAAAGCAATCGTCGGAAACGTGAATTAAGCAAGCAATCGTAACTACAATCATGGTGCTATTATAAGGATTTATATGGGTAAAAACAAGGTGCTTTTGCTCCTAAACGAACATGGGGACCCCTCATTTTTATTTCAAAATTTAAGTTCCTATAATATAAACAATCGATAGGCAAAGTTTCACAAAAATCTCAGTGCAGGTTCTATTTCAGCGGAATGACCTTAAAATGTGAATAATTTCCATTCATATGTTGAAGTTCAATAGTACCCTTCGTACAATTTGTTTCTGTCCATTGTTTCATGTTCACAATGATATATTACCATAAACCACGACAAAAGGAAAATGCCAAATTGTGTAAGGGAAAATGGAACCCCAACATATACATCGAAGGGCGGTTTTAACTCCAGGTTTCAAATTTCAAAAGTTGAATTGAATATTTAGTTTCTGAGGCAAGCGTCCTTGGGAAATATTTGTAACAAGAACAAGGCATTCTAGCTTTGTTAGCTTCAAGGAAATTGTATTTTCCTCTGGTGACCTGTTTCTGTTCTCAAGTGTGATTTCGTTCACATCCAATCTGTGGCCTTAACGAGGTCACCATGCGCATAGTAAAGTTAAACCTAAAACCTGATTTGCAGTTGAATGTGCTGGTAGATGAATATGACATTTCTAATGACGAGTACGTACATATACGAACAAGCAGAAGGCTCTGAACAGACTGCTAAACAAACTAGAGTGAAACTCATAATCAAATTTGAATTTCCAGAATCTTCGACTGTGGCACGCTCCAATTTTTGCGCGGTCATATTTCATTACCCATACATAGACCCCACTCAGCGCGGGGTGAGCAAACCTGGGTTGAATTTGGCTAACCTAAAGAAGGTCTTATTGGCAACTAACCGATAAAACTGCGTGATAATTATTTAAATTAATACTTAACCACCAGTACCCACCTGTACATATCTACATACAATAACACTCACCCAGTACCTGTTGATTTATGTAAGCGTCCGTCTTCTAAATGAGCATAGTTATAAACTCACGCAGCTTAATTCATCTGCTAAATATCACCTGTCTGCCAACTGATGTAAAAGAGATATTTTAGAGAATTCATGATGCCTTCGAATAATTTCCACGTTGGAGATATTCAAACCGATATCAACAGAGTCAAACAGGGCCAGACGTATTTGTTTGTGGATAAGAGTTTCCAAGATTCCATCATCGAGTATTTTCAATTTTTGCGCAGAGAAGGAATTCTATGTGACGTGACGCTGAGAATTGGAAGTCACAAATTTTTGTGTCATCGTAACATCCTGGGCGTTGCGAGCCCTTATTTTCGTTCTCTGTTCATAGACAGTGAAAGTGGAAGGTTTATAAAAAATGTGGACCTACCGCAAGATGTCGACCGTTCCATCATGGAGGCATTGCTGGGATACATGTACGGAGGAAGAATCTTCATCAATAAAGGCAACGCCATAGATATTTTCAGGGGCGCCAGTTTTTTCAAACTTCAGAGTTTGATCGAGGAATGTTCGTACGTGTTGGTTAAATTTTTAACGCCTGAGAATTGTCTAGAGATGCGAGGTATTTCTTTGATTCACGGACAAGAAAAGCTTCATCAACGATGTCAGAGGTTTGTTTGCGAGAATTTCGTTAAAGTCGCAGAAACGACGCAGTTTTTAGAGCTTCCACCAGAAGAGATGGAGAAGACATTGTCAAACGATGACATTTGCGTCACCAGCGAACAACAGGTAGAATATAATTTGGAATAATACACAATAGAATTAAGAGGAATTACGTTTAATTTCATACGAAAAGCTTTCTCTTGTCACGGTTTACAAGTTAACTGAAGTTTCTTGAATTGGTCGTCTAAACTTCCATGAATGTCATTTACCATAAGGATAATGCTGCGCTCAAATTCTTTCGTCAGTTTAAGATCTCGTATTCGATGTTGAAAATATCAGCACTTGTTTTCGTCGAGCTGTTTACAACTCAATCAAGCAATCTTTTGTGCAACCGACATAGGAAAAACTGAAACTAAAATTAGGTTGGAAGTTGAGAATGAGCAATGATGTATTGTTCTGATCGAGACTAGTAAGATTAGTAAACTATGGTTGATTACATTGTTTTTCTTTGCTTGGAAATTTCACCGCAAGTGAGGATCATATAGAAGCTATATTATAGCTGTTGTCAATCTCCTTTAGGTATTTGATAGCCTGGTAAGATGGACTGAACACGACCGCAAAGAACGCGGCATCCACTTCGCCAAATTACTCCAATACGTGCGACTACCACTGCTCTCCACCAACGTGTTAATGGATCATGTCGAGCCCCAGCAACTGGTACAGCGCTCACCAACAGCTAAAGAAATGGTTTTGGAAGCGTTAAGATTCAACTCGGGGCACGACAACAGACTAAATACCATGAATAATCCGAGGACTTTACCCAGAACTTGTTCCACTCTGGTGGATGTGATTTTGTTTGTTGGAGGTAAGGGGCGGCACTTGGAGGAAAGTCGCATGACGTTCTGTTACGAGCCTGAGGATGATCAATGGTTTTCTTTAGCTGCGTTAAAGTAAGTACTTGTCTTAATCAGTTGTTATGCTTCCACCGGAAGGGGAGTTACGGTGGGAGTACTCGAATTGACCTCATGTCGGCAGGTGCTGAGTGAGACCAAATGTTGAAACACTCTGGTCTGACCCTCCCCTCCCCTTCCCCCCCCACCCCGCCCCACAATTTTCACTCTCATATTCGTAAAACTTCGCAGTCCGTATCTATGTAGGCTTCTGATTGCAATTAGTGGCTGCTCATTTTTGAATTTTCGCGCGCAATTTAAGTATCAACCAATGAGAAACAATGCATGGATCTCGTAAAGCTACGTAGTCAGCATCAAAGAAATCTGAAGGGTCAAATTTCCGACGTCGCGAATGGTAGTGAAGTAAAAGCTAAGCACCTGAAGGTACCGGTAAATAAAGACTAAATTCGGTCCTCATATCCCATCAGGTTGAACCTTATTTCTGCACTCAGTATCCTGAAGGAACTAAGGTTATTCCTAATACCCACTGGATCGAATGCTTATCCCGATGCAGAGTTACCATAGCATTTAGTTCGTTGATACCCACTTAAATTGCGTTAACAAAAACGCATGCCTCACAACGACTCATCTAGGGCACAGATACGAAGCTGCTCTATCCGGAGTCCAGTGCGTAAGCCATCACATCACCGCACCTTCCACTTAACGTAGCACCTTCCACTCAGCGTTAGAGAGAGACAACATGGCGGTATGTCGTGTGATGCGAAGCGGCGTTCTTCTTCTACTCGTCTTCGTGTTTACAAGGGATCTTTCTAATTCTAAATGTCTTACACCGTTGGTTAACCAAGAAGTCAATAGCTCTGGGTTGGCTGTTGGACAGGAGCTCTCTTCTTTCGTCGGTTTTGAGCAGCCCGTGAGAAAGAAAACTTCTAGTGGGCGCCATTTTGGATTTTCCCTCACTCCTGTCGCCAAGGTTCAGCTTGTCAGGCTTACAAGATCTGTTCTTCTTGCAAGTTTACTGCTTCAGTGCANTATACATGCTCTTTTTATTTTACGTTATACAGGGCCCCCGTTGATACCAGTCCTGCGACTGAAGGGGTCACCCTGTTTAAATATTGATTATTATTAGTAGGGAGAGTATGTTTAGACCGTCTGTCAGTCTCTCTTCATAGCACTGTCCAAGCCTTCTCGACTTGCTCTTTTCTCAGAACACCACTGTACGATCACGCAGTAGAAACATTTGATGGATTTGTGTACGCAATTGCTGGGTCCGTGGAGGGTAAGGCTTCGCTGCTGCTTCAGGATAAGGTGCAATGTTACAATCCGCACCTGAATCATTGGGATTTCGTGGGTGCTATGCAAGAAGCAAGAGCCAAGGCTGCTGCGGCAGAACACGAGGGATTACTGTATGTCACAGGTAAGCCAGATTAAAAATCAATTAAAACTGTAGTTTTCTTTGTGCTTAGTGCAAACACGTTAAGAAAAAAGATTTTTGCAGCGCGCCTTCGTTTTGACGCAACCTTTAACCCAATAACTATCATGGGAAAAATCAGGCCCCACCACCTCCTGCTTCGTTGATTATTTTTTGTTTTTTTTTTGCTCTCGCTCCAATTTGCGCGTGACCAAAATGCGGTGAAAGCTCTTCGTACAGGAACGCGTGTTACGAAGGCTAATATGGAGGATAATTTTAAATATTTCAGTCAGTCTTGTCTTCTTGTATCTTCCTCAGGAGGCATCACAAATGGTCCCCAGGGCAACACATTTGAAGTGTACAATCCAATCAACGACAAATGGAAATTTCTCTCCCCTCCCACGATCCCGCGAAGTTGTCACGCAATGGTTGCCACGGAAACGCACATTTACGTCATCGGCGGCGAGGGCCAAGGAATCGAGCCCGAGATCAGCATGGAGCGATACGATCCAGCGGTTAACCTCTGGAGCTTTGTGCTGCCGATGAATTGTGGAAAGGTTGGCGCATGCGTGGTGCAACTGGAGGGAAAAATTTATGTAATGGGCGGGAACAACGGATACACCACGCTACGACAGTGTGAAGTTTACGATGTGGAGACACACCAGTGGAGCATGGCTAAAGGTAAAATAAAGAGCAGCATTGATTGGATGGTAAATGCGCGTGTCATAAAAATGACACATAAATGAAGTTCATGCTTTGGCGAGTACTCCTCCATAAAAGTTTATTCAGAGACCTGCGCTGGTTAGAAATTTTGAATTATTAACGTTTGAAAGAGCCTCAAAACAGATTTTCTTTTTTGGCTTGAAACAGGGTGCGCTTTTTAATTTAATCAAGTGATCTACATGATCAATGTTCAATGTAAAAATCTAACTTACTTGAACGCACTTGAAGGAAAGACGTTACAGATGATGTTTGCATCTGGCTAAGTGTCCCAGACACGTTTTTCAGGAGTACTCAGTTCTACTCCCCCCCTCCCCCTCCCCCCTCCCTCCCCCTCGGATGAGATGCTAGTACATTTCCGGGTTACCCATTAGTCGGCTTAATTCACCGCCAGTACACTTTTGTACATCTGGGTGGAGAGTGGCACCGTCAGAGTGAAACATGTTTCCCGATAACACAACGCAATGCATATGATGCTGGCCAGAACTCAATCTCGGATTGCTCGATCAGGAGTCCAGCTCAAAAACCACTGGACGTCTAGCCAAACCGGTTATCTAAAAGCATGCACGCATGTAGAAGAAACATTTAAATCACCACTCACATGATTTGCGGGAGTAGCTCAACCTACTAGACGCAATCAAATCTGGACCCCAAGCTGAAATTATTCAAGGATGGTGGTCTTCTCAGATCCATGCAATAGTTTTTCTTTCCTGTGTTTGTTTCCTGTCTGTCTTGAGGGCAGGACGTGAAAAGGGAGAAGCTAATAATTTCTTTTGAATGTTTCTGACATCAATATACTGTTTCGTTTTAGACATGACAGAGTTCCGTCAAGACGCCGAAGCTGTGATTTTAAACAAGAAGATCTACGTTATCGGTGGCCGAGACTTTAAAGGCGAGAGAGCGATAAATTCCATAGAATGTTTTGATATATCAGAGGGAGAATGGAGCCGACTGACGTCAGTTCCAATCCCGAGAGAGGGCTTCCGTTGTGTGACGTGCAGAGTGAGTCGTGATCGTCTCACTCCAATGAAACTTAAGTGACTTGCTGAGTTAACAACTATACCAAAAACTTCACCTCGATCACCAAAACCTGACAAAACGCGTTGTAGGGTCTCAAGGGGGTTACCGTAACCGGAAACTATTGTTTGTAGCAGAGTTCCTCTGCCATTGTGATTTGTTTCCAGGGTTGGTACGAAAAGCTTGTTTCCTAAAAATTGTTTCTCAAAGTTTGACATCCTTAAAAGCATTGCAAGTCCGAAAACGTAATTATATCTTAGTCAAATTGGTCGACACCTTTAGCTGTGAGCAGGGAAAAACTTAAGGAATAAGCCCTGCAGCTGTTATAATTCTAAATGTTTTCTTCAATTTTCTGCGTACAGTATTTTTGATGGAAAAGTTTCATGGACTTCAAAGAATTTCATTTCAGTCAAGTTCACTTACTTAATTACAACAGGTTGAGTAGCAGTTCCTACCTATCATTAAAGCTATATTTTCGCTCATAGCTCCTGAAAGTTAAAAATCTATAAATAGACTCGTGCACGAATGGCAAAAAAGCTGAAAGATTATAAATAACAACATGTTCACAAACTCGTATATATAGAATTCTTTGTTATTGCTAAAAGTTGAACTGATCTAGTGCGAAGCCCATCCTCGTTCATGTAATTGCCCGAAAGATGCTTTAAATAAATCACAATAAATTACAATATTCAGAGAGGAAGCCACATCAGCCTTAGATGGTTTTCATGCAGGTCCTCTATCCTGGTCGAATTGGAATTTGGAGATGTTGGTTTTTGTGGAGGAAGGAAAACCGGAGTACCCGGAGAAAAACCCTCAGAGCAAGGCGAGAACCAACAACAAACTCAACCCACCGGGTCGAAATCGAACCCGGGCCAAATTGCTGGGAGGCGAGCGCTCTCACCAGTGCGCCATTCTTGCTACCCTCACTATCAAAATTTCATATGTGATAAGTTTAAGCTGATGATACAAAATTCTCCACAGAACGTGTAGCCTCCGAACAGGCTCCCGGTGAGCCCAAACAAAGCGAGGGGGCTCCCCTGTCCCCGCCCCGATCACTTCGCTCTCCGAATTCTTCTGTTCCGCGCTCTCCGCAATTTTTTTCCGTCTTCGCCGGGAGCTGGCACTGGGGGAAGGTGGAATTAGTCAAGGGTGCACGGGTGGATGAGAATGTGTGCGTGATTAACGCCCCTCCCCTATTCCCCTTACATCTGTGGACGATTTTACGTTTCACTGTTGTTATGGATGTTCTTAAAAAGCGGTACGCGTAGTAATAACAGCATTATCTTAAAATTCCTCAAATTACATGAATTCATCATAATTTACAGGCAATTGGATGATGTTTTTGTAAGCTGTATGAAGAAAAGTCACAGAAAGGAGTTCATGAAATACCATTTACATCAGTAATTTGTCACCTTCTACAGAAAATAAAATCTTCACCTTAAAGACCCATTAAGACTACTGGGACCATAGGATTACTATGGCAATCACCCTGCTAATATCATTCTCATAATGATCTCCCCCCCCCGCCTCCCTCTACATCTCTGTTATAATTTTTGTAACTCCTCTAACACAACTACAATAGTAACCGATTTCTTCAAAACCTAAGTCGGCCAAATTTGTGAGCGTTTTTGAAGGACTGGTCCCCGAAAAAGACAAACCTCTTATGGAGCCAACGTGTACTTCACGAGTTCTTTAAAATATTTTTTATTAGCGGACTACACCACCCTACAGCAGTGCCATCTGAAGCTAAGCAGCAAGCGCAGGAGATAGCATGTAAGCGCAACTGCAACTCAGTAACTAGCTTATTCAGATTCAAGCTTGGAACTCTGATCCCCTTTTTCTATCATGTCAATTCTGAGAATTAGCTGTTACTTGTCCGCTTGGTACTATACCGAATTTTCACCGCCACAAACTAAACAATATATTTTTCCTCTTCGTTAATTTATTCCAGATCTGAAATGCAGAATAATCTGGAAAGTAATTATGCTAATTATGCAAACCGCTGGATGTCTGCTTCGCATGTTGTTGTTCGAAGAGTAATATTTCACACGGGAATCAACTCTTCGGCTGAAGCAGTTGGTTTGGTTTTTTCCGGTGGCTTTGGTGAAAGGCTGTGGTACAAAAACGTCTGGTAAGTGTTTTTCTGCAATTTTTGAACCTCTAGAAGCTCAAGAGCAGCGCGAAAATTTAATTTCAACATCCGCAGTTGTTGTCGATACAGACCTTGCGCTCATTTGTGTGTAGTAGCGTCGCTTTACTGTAACAGCGAAAATGCCATCGCCTGAAAAGCATTCGATTCAACCATACTCCCTCCTTACTGCTTGAAAGGTCGATTAAGTAAGTTTAATCCAATATAGTGTTTCTTTCGCATCCTAGGGCATATTTAGTTTATCGCTTACTCAGAAGCTCAAAGTGACTATACCCGTTGAAACGACGGTTGCCGGAGCGTTTGGAATGTATACATCGGACGGTTTGTAATCTGTTTTCGATCTAACGCTCCAAAACAGCGTTCAAGTTTTATAAATTTGTTCTAATGATATTTTGTTTCTTTACAGATTAACCTGAACGATGGCTGAAGGCGACAGCTATGGATGTAAAACGTATTTTTTGATTTCAGTGGAAGGAATCCTGTTTTTGTTGCAATTCGTAAGTCAAATGGCTTTTAAAATGTCTGCCTCGTTCAGTTTACGTTAACTTTTCGACACCTTTTACGCGTGTTTTTTTGGTTTCGATGGTTAGTTTCCATTTTTGCTAGTTAGGTATTTTACTGCGTACGAAGTTATTTTAAATATGCAGGTATTTTTTGGACATCATAATTTGTTCACCGCACCCAGCAACTTCTGTCCTTGCCAAGTGAACTGCGAAATTTCGCGTGTCTGAAATTAACATGCAGTAGCTAGATGTTACAAGTTGCTTTGCGATCGGAGAATTTTTCGAGATCATTCCTTCGTGATACGATATGAAAAAAATGTGTTGTATTAGTTTGTTTGCAAAAGAAAATTCGATATTTTACGAACAAGTCATATATATTTTTAATAGTTATGCAGCATGGTCCAATATCATTATGTATGTACAATTAAACCCTTCGTGTAGGTCGTCATTTAAATGCAATCTATTCTTGCAATTCGCTGATTATGTCGACTATAACATAACTGGTTTAATATTTAACCTGGCTAGTGACATAGGTATTTTTTTGTTTTGAAAAAGTCAGTTTTAAAATAGGTTGCGAGGCACTAAGGCATTTTCTCGACAAAAATCTGCGTCACCTACGTCAAACAGACTTGTAACAATTCAAGTGTTTGGTTACATTTGAAAATGTCGTGAAGCTTTTTAGAGAACAAGTCATTATTATTATTGTTTACTCAAAAGAACTCTAATACTTGTTCCTAACAGCAGAACTTGCAACAACTTTTTGTTGAAAAGTTGGCATGCCTTTGTCTGAGCAATTACTATTTGATTTAAAATCAGAACAACGCAAATTTTGCAAGATCTTAAAGAGACATCTGCGATTTCACCCAAAAATTTAATTACTGATGATCTGCTAGCTTGTTCTACAGAGATCTGTGTAACTATCTTTGGTCGCTAGTTGCTTGCGTGTGGAAATTCAGTACCAAACAGGCAATGCAAGGATCTGTAGAAATGTGGGGCGTTTTTGCTTATGCCAAAAATTGAAGAAATGTTGACTGGAAATCAACTGGAATAGGTCTGCCTGTACAGAAAATTGAGTAATATAAAAATATATGTACTGGATATGTGGTATATGTAAAAACTAGAATAAAATTTTTATCTTGAGTTCAAAGTTATTAAAAAAGTTGTCAGAAATATGGTACAACTATCTTGTCATCTTCTACATGTAACAAATTACAAGACCCTACAGAACACTGTACCTGTACTGTAGGTGTGAAGATGGCACACCAAGTCTCCCATACTGTTAGTGTCTTATGCCAGTGCACCCCTCTTTATGTCCCAAAAAGGAGAATGGCAGGAAGCTACATGTAAAAATATTTTAGGGAGTGGGTGATCAGAGAGAAATTTTTCCACACTACGATGATGGAAATGGTGCTTTGCTTTAAAAATTATTTTGGCTTATATCTGTAACCATAACAACACATTTATTCCCTCTTACAAGTGTGGGCAAGCTTAAACTTGCTCCTTTCTCAGCCAATTGCCAGGAAGTTTTTAAAGCATTAATTTAATATTTTAAACTTTTTTTCAGGTCCTTGGCCTCATTGCCTTTGTATTAGTTTTGAGCCATGAATTGTCCAGTATCTTCTCTCATTATGGATTCTTCATTGTCGTCAGTGGTCTGTGTTGGATTGGAGCATTCCTCATTATCCTTTTCCATATGTGTGGCTGCTGTAAAGTTAACATACTGGGTGTCTGGCAGAAAGAGTATTCTCTGGTGAGCACTTGAATGTTTCATTGTCAACCCTCAAGTCAGTCCCATAACTGATAAGAATATACAACAATTATTCCATGAGTGTGCATTGTATATGAGATTGTAGATAACCAACGAGGCACATAGCAGTGAGCTACAAATCATCTTATATCCAACAGGCACGAGTCGAATAATTGTTTTGTCATAAATGCCCCCAAGATATAGAAAATTAAAATAATTTAAAATTAAAAATTGAAATGCCCAAAAAATCACACATATGCCTACCATATTTTTAGAGCATGGTATAATGGCTCAGTCCTCCGTAGGAAAAGAGATGGTGAGTGGTACATTTACCCACAGTTCTCAGCACACAACAACTTTAAAACCGTTTATAAAAACGTACAGAAACGTTATAAAATCTTCAAACCCAGGCTACTCAATGTCCTTTGTACAGGGACAAATATTATAAACATTTGGTTTTCTTAGTTCCTTATAGGCTGTGTAAAGTTCAAAAGGCATTGTGGTAGAATGTACAGCCGCCATCTTTTTTCCTATGGTGGATTATACCACGACGGCAGATTATAAGCCAATGAAAACTCTTGAATTGGATTGTTCAATGATTCAGTTTTTGATGATTGCTATTAATTGTGGAACTCTGTTGATATAAGTAGTTAATACATGTAAGCACCATGTATTAGTCTGATTGGCTGGGCTGTTGAACAAAGGAAACGTATTGGCCAGGGCATCATGTTTGGGGAAACACAACTTGATTTTGCGACTGGGGAAAGTTCAAGATGCCTTCAGATATCTTCGGACATCTTTGGTTCTGTTAGGATCTTCTCTGTAAATCCTTACACTTCTAGAATAAATATTTCATGCGAAAAGTTAACGGGTTTATAATCCCAGGTTTAAGTGCATTACTTTCACTTGAGGATTGTACTAAAGCATAAACAAGGTATCAGGGGGGTAACCCTGCGATGGACTAGCATCCCATCCAGGGGGAGTAGAAATACTCCTAGTCACTTCATGCTACAGAAACTGGGAAAAGCTTTGGCCTGATGGGCCACTTGGCTTGTATGCAGACTTAACATGTACCTACATTGTACATGTACAAACATTGGTATGCAATATTGCATGTATCCCAGTAGATGTCAGAATTCAGCCCTGGTCTTAAGCATTAATGAAAACACTGAACTATAATAATCTCTTTGCATTTGCTTTTTCAACAGTGGATATTTTTGCTGAGTTACTCCCTGTCATACTTCTTCTTTTTTCTGTTCTCCTCTGCTCTTTTGTCTCAGTGGACTGAGAAAGAGCCGGAATTTATCATTGCCGCAGTAAGTGATTATAGAGCATACATTTGTACATGTACTAGAACTGTCTACTTACAGGAATAGGTACAAAAATAAAATTATGTTAATTGAGAACAGAAGATGCATCTAGCAACCTTTTTCCTAAAAAGAACCAACAACAGTGTAGAAAATGTAAATAAAACAAATTTGTTCAACAATAAAATTTGAATCCCAGTTGATAAGAATTACAGAATGTTTGACACCTTTCAGGAAACTTAAATTGTCATTTTTTTGGTTGGTTAGTTGTTACCCTTAATCTTTCAGGGCAGATTAACCTTGAGTAATGGTATTATGATTAATATATGAATTATCATGAATTTTAAAGCAAATTACATGATTCAGAATACAGCTCCTTTAGAGGAGAATTACAAGCTGAATGGATTTAAGAGAAAGAAATACCAGCTGACTTATAGTAGGATTACTACTGTATTTTTTAGATAATGTGCTCATCAAAATTACATTAAGTGCCCATCCATGTATGAGTGGACCTTTGGAACAAAAATTTAAAAAGCAAACTCCACCCTCTGTCTAAACGGCATGCAGAAAGACACAAGGGAGAATGTGTAGATAAATAAATAAAGAAACAAACAAATAAATAAATGAATAAATAAATAAATTTGTACAATATTGAGAGAGGATTAGCCTCATCAGCCTTAGCTGGTTTTCACTCAGGTCCTCCATCCTCTCTCCTCTGTAGTTATGGGTAGTTGTACTTAAACAACCATAAATTATGTTGTTTCTGTTCTCTCTTTTGTTTCCTCTAGATCTGTGGTTTTATACTGGCGATTGTGTTTTTCATCCTTTGTGTTATGTACTATAAGCGTGTCAGGAAAATCAGACTGACAGAGGTGCTCTGGGAAGGAGATAAATCAGTGAGGGCCTAGATGAGCAATTCAAGATGGTGCACTGGACTTAAGAAATGCGTATTTAACAGCGGCATGTTTGAGCATAGAAGAGCATGGAATTTGAACTTTGAATAAGACTTTGTTTGGCCATTAAGGTGTACAGATGTAGCATTTTGCTTTGGTATAATTTTATGTAAAAAGGAATATTTGTGCATAATTTGTTTTACAGTAGTCTAGTTAGGAAACTATCTCATGCTAAAACATTCCATTTACACTGTATAGTTTTTACATGTAAGCAGGGCTGTGCTCTAGAAGTGCCCGGGTGCCTCATTTGAACTTACTTGAATTTTTCATATAAGCTTATTAGTGATGGGCACCCAAGATTTCATGGTCAGGAACCTTTGGGCCCCGTGTAATTTTTCTTAGACCTGAGACACAGTGTTGGTGAGTGCTTATTTTTTTTGGCCTTAGTAATTAAGGTGCTGGTAGTTAACACCTTAACCTCATTATGGCACAATCAGGCAGGCTTAAACAGTGGACTTCCAAAATTTTCTGTCAGGTTGACCTTAAAGCCAACAATTTATAAAGGAGCTTTTTTTTTTTTTGCCCGGGCACCTCCCCTAGATCCGCCACTGATGAAGTTAGAATTAAATTTGCAGTACAGTACGCTGGTTTACCTACCACAACAACACTTCACAGGACCAAGAATCTTGTGTACTTCTTGCTGAATAAACATGAGCTGCAGCTCTTTTCAATGTGTAGATATCAGTTTCATGCCTGACCAATTCCTTCTTATGGGCTTTTGTTGGCATTTCTGCAACGGAACAGGTTATTCACTTTCGTTAGTTTACCATGCATGATGTTCGTAAGCTCGAGGTTACGTGAACTTACGTGAAAACCTGAAGTTCAAACCTCAAACCAGCTGTTATTCAGGAAAGCAACCCGCGTTAGCAAAAGCTTCCGATTGTTCTATAAACAATAATATTGAATTACTGACACTGTAACTTGCACATGCGCCGAGCCGAAAACAGCCGGTCACGTGACGGGCTTTTCAAGAACACACTGATTTAGTCATTGGTAATGCATACTGTTACCAGAAATGAAAAGAGCATTTTACAAATAAGCTTACATGCAAATTTTAGGTTTATATTCTGTAAGTGGATTTGTGTAGGAAGAAGATGCTTTGTCACTCCAGTCACTCTCCAGTGGTTTTTCATACAAACTTTGTCCTTTTGCAAGTTTTCAAGCTGCCATAAAAGTTTTGCTTTTCGTTTCAATAAGCGCCTTGAATTTTCCCGTCTTCCTTATATTTTACCCCTCTTTCTTTGATGTGAAGTATATATGAAATAATTCATATTTGAATTGCGGTTGTAGATGAAAGTGAAGAATGATCATCGCAGTAAATTTTCCAATTGCTTAAATTGGAAAATTTACTGCGATGATCATTCTTCACT